GGTTTTTTAATCTCAAATAAGTGTGGGCAATGAAGTTGCACAAACACCTGAGTGGAACTTCCCATTCCAAAAAAAAATGCTTATTTTTAACATTGGACAAATTGTTTAATGCCACTGTACTGCCTCATTGCCTGCTTGTACAATGGGGATAAAAGTAATTTGTGAAAATGGGAGTAAGCAGAGGCAGAGCTTGTGAGCGTGTCACATACCCCGGTGAAGGGACTCTGAGCCAGAGCAGGAGAGGCACTGGTCCAAATGCCAGCGTCAGTGCAGTGTCTCTGGCACCACGTGTCCTCAGCTGTGCTCCACAGAATGGGTGCCCTGTGGGATGGTCTCATCTCTCCCCTTTACCTCTTGCTGCAGTTGCTCGAGCTGAACCCCGAGAAACGTTTTTCTCAGCTCAAGGACATCCAGTCCTTCCCGTACCTGTCTGATGTGAACTGGGATGCTGTTCTCCAGAAAAGAATACTGCCAGAATTCATTCCCGTGGTAAGGCCGTTTGAGTGTAAAGGTTCCTCACACCCAGCACTGGGGCATTCTGACAAATTTCCACTGAAGCATCAGGTGTCATAAGGAGAAAAGAGAGACCCAGGCAGAGCTGTCTCTTCCATGAGTGTGTAGCGTAGAGTAATGGAAGGAGACTATAGTGTGGGTGCCCCCACACTGATGTGCCCTGTTTGTAATGTTCCCGGAATTTCTGGGTGCAGAACTGGTGTTACAGCCCACTGGGCTGCGCATCTGTGTGGGAGGGATGGTGCTGTGAGCCCCCTCGTGCTGAGCCTTGCTCTGAGCAATGCTGCTCCCCAGTGCACCAGGATGGACTCAGCAGCAGCCTGGAGATCACCCACCATCTCATGGGAATTGTTTTCTCCTGCAATGCTTCTCCAACAAGCTCATTGTTAACAGTAAACAGCACATGCACTAGAGTTGTATTTATGGGCCTTTTTAAATTGAATTAAAGCAGCACATAACTAACATAACCCTTATAAAGAACAGTCCAACTACTCCAACTGGTTTTCAGCAGAAGTTGGGCTAAACTATGAATATTTGTTAATTGTAAATCTGCCCTTGTTGCTGGGTTTCTCTGTGGTGGGTATGATTCTCTATTGCTTGAGGACCAGTTTCACTGGGCTGCTGTGCTACTCTCAAAAAGGCACAACCCAGCCAGGACTGTCCTCATCCTCATTGCCACTCCAAAGCAGGCAATGGGCAGAGTAGAAGCAGGAGCACAAAAGGAGCCACTGTGACACCTTGAATATAGTCCATATCTGAAGGGACTGATAAAGTATATCAGGAGTGTAGCCAGTGCTCTTGGCTGCAAGTGCAATTATAATTAGTGCTTTTTTTTTTACAAAATTCAGCTCCCAAATGCAGTCCAGGTTATAAGAGACTAAGACAGGCTCTGATTGCTTAAGGCCACTTCTCTCTCCCCTCCAGAAAGGCAGACTGAACTGTGACCCAGCCTTTGAACTGGAAGAAATGATCCTGGAATCCAAACCTCTTCACAAAAAAAAAAAGCGCTTGGCTAAGAAGGAGAAAGACACAAGCAAAATCAATTCATCCCAGGTGAGAACAAACAGGTACAAGCATGGTAGGCCTTTCATTTTTCAAAGACTGCCATCTAGCAAGACCACAGTAAACTGAGCAGAATATTTTTTCCATTGTGACCAACTATTCCTAAAACTCTCTCCATCTTCCCCGTGGTGAAGGGCAGAATGTGTATGCACTGCTTTACTGCAAGAGGAGAACCTTAATGCCATTCTCCCCACTGCAGGGCAAAAGATGGTCTGTGCCTAAACATATTGCCATGTGTCATTGAAACTGCCCCTTGCAATGTTCTTCTGTGTAAACTGTGAATTTATTCCCTATATCTTTTATTTTTCCATTCCGATATGAAAGGCCAGCCACCTCCAGAAGCACCTGGAAATGCTCCAGAGAGACTTCATTGTTTTCAACAGAGAAAAGTAAGTTTTGATCCAGAGGCAGCAGCAGAGGCACTGGCCCTTGCCAAAGCCTGTGACAGTTTTGGGGGGCACAGGGCAGGGGGGGCTGTGCTGGAGGAGCTTGGGGCACCCGGGGCTGCAGGAGCTGTGCAGCGAGGGGCAGCTCAGGCCAGGCAGTGGGCAGCTCCAAGGCAGCTGTACCTCTATGGGGTCTTGGCACTGCCTGGGCTTTTCCTCACAGTTCAATCATCCTTTTCTATCCCAAGGGTAAGACCTCACTGTGACAGCATCCAAGAGACCATGACAAAAAGTGGCGGCCCACACAGGGAGGACAATCAGAACATCAACCTCTGAGAGCAGCTCAGCCCCTGCAGGGGACTCCTCGTGGCACTGGGGCTCACCATCCACCTTCACAATGCCAGGCCGTGCCAGCAGCCCAGGGCACAGAGGAGAGCTGGGGCTCCCCTCCCTCAGCTCATCCCCACAGCCCAAGGGCCCATGAGAGGCTGTGGGGGCTGCCTTGCAATGGGCACAGCTGGTCAGACAGATCCTATCACGTTGCCTTTCCTGAGGGCAGGAACGGGACCACAAAACAATGGACAAGACAGCTTTCGCTACTTTGGCTCGGCTGGCAGGTGCCACAGCCCTTGGTGTCACCATGCAGGCAGCTGCTGCACCGTGCTGAGGGGTGCCCACAGCTGTGCCACAGGGCTCTGCAGGTGCTGGCATTCCCACGGATGGGCTCACGGCTGGTTCCCCACAGGAAGAGGTGGCTCCCACATGCATGATCTTCACCAATGCATTGTGACAAAAGTGGCCTTTGCTTACAGACAGCGCCTGCAAACATCCTGTGAGGGGGCACAGGAGGATGGAGAGGAGCTCCTTCCTTAGCTGCGAGGAGGCAGCAAAGGCTTCCTGCCCGTTTAGTGCTCTCTCCATGGACCCAGCAGGGCTGGCATGGTTGGTGGCCAGTGTGCAGACAGATGTGCACACCAAGCTGTAACAACCAGGTGCTGGTGAATCCAGATGCTTTACCAGTCTAGCCTGAAAAATACATTCACCATCATGATAAAACTGCGGCAGCTCACTGAATCTGATGGAGCTTGGCTTCCAAAATCAGATGGCTTCCAAAATATACATCAGGGAATTTAGATGTATATTTTGAATGTCTCTACCACTGAAATCACACTTGATTTAAGCAGGAACTGTCCTCAGGAACCATGAGGATAGCCTTCCTGGGAATGATGAGTCCAAGGCAGAGAGACATGGAGTCTCCACCCCACTGAGAAGTCCTGTTGCTTGAAAGGCTATCCAGAGCACCTCCAGCATTCTCCATGGATCCTCTGCTCTCTGCCCAGTCCTCCAGCAGGTCTGGCACCAGTAGGACTGTGCTGACAGCTGTCCCTGTCTCCTGCACAGCACATCGCCATCGCTGCCTTGCTCTGGTGCAGGCAGAGGTGCACATACCATAAGTGTATTTATCTGAAATCCCAGCTCTGCTCCTCACTAGGGAAAAATCTGCTGCTGCAGAAATACCTCTCCACTGGCTGGTCAGAAAAGCCCCAAAACAACTGAAGTCCTTAAAAATGGAAAGAACATTGCATATTTAAAAATTTTAAAATGTAGAAATTTAAATGTTTCTACAACCATCTCTCTATTCCCCTCTTCCTCTGTACACAGAGGCACAGTCTCAGCTTATTCTCTACCAGGCAACAGGCAAAAGCCTAAATTACTTGATGGAAGAACTTCACAATGCTTGTAAGCACAGCATTCCCCAGCCTGGCACAACTATTATAGCCTGGCCCCTTAAGGACTGCGGCAGAGACAGCTTGCCCTGCCTCAGTTGCAGACATGTAAAAAAAATATTTCAAGGTCAAATACTAAAGAAGGAGAGGGAAAAGTGTATTTGTTTAGCATAGCCGAAACTGACCCTTAATTCTGTGGTCTTTAAACAAAAATCACTTTTTTTTACATGCTTTGCAAGCTTTAAAGGACAGTGCCTTTTGTTCTAACAGACAATGCCTGATGGAAGGGGAGCATTTCACTGACAGGAGTCCACAGAAAGCAGCCTCCAAGGCTGTCTGGCCAGGATGGCCCCAAAGCCGTGCCCAGGCAGCGCCGTGCGGAGCTGGTCCCTGTCAACACACAGAGGACAGGCACAGCTCTTGCCAGGCAGCCACAGCCCATGGTGGCCAGGCCAGGCTCAGAGACTGCGTGCACAAACTGGACAGCTGTTACAAACACTTGCATTGTGCTGCTCTGCCGATACCTTTCCCTTGGCCTGAGAAGCCGCACCAACACCCTGACAGGGGCAGCAGCGAGCACTGCATGCTGCTGCCTCTCCAGCCCCAACACCACCCAAACCCCTGTGCTGCCCCAGCCCAGTTCCCTGCACTGGGCACTGCCCCTGCCAAGCTGCAGGGGCCCGAGGAAGAGAAGAGCCAACCGACAACATGAGCTGTTTGAAGGAACAACTTTTTTTTTAATAAAGTGTACAAAGTAGTAAAACTCCTTACACAAGGTGCTGTGACAGCTGTTACAGAGATGATTCGAGCTCCCCCACAGGCCTCATGATGAAACGCCAGAGCATTGGGCGGAGATGAAGGAGATGAATGTGACAGACCCACCTCTCCCTACGAGCTCAGTGCACCTGCCCTCCCCGTCCGACATCCTGCCCCCGGCCAGACCCTGCCCCTCACCTGCCTGGCCGGGTCACCCTGTGGGCCATTCCCACTGTCCCACACCACGGCATCCCACACACGTTCAACACCAATAACATTGAACCGAGCAACCTGTCCGAGCAGCATGCATACAGAGAGGAAGAGCAAAACACAACCCAACCAAACCCACAACAGTAACAACAACAGAACTTTAAGGCTATGCAAAAACAAAATGAAGCAACATCTTTAAAGCTAGGTAGCAAGTAGCATTTGTGAAACATAAGGCTTGAGGCTTATTGATTCTTCAGAACAGGTTTATTTCTTTTCATTCTTCAACACCAATGTACCATTTTTCCTCCTTTGCTTGAACAGGGTTTTGTCTCCTCCTCAGCCGGGACATTTAGCTCAGGGAGGTGATGTTGGAGCGGCCTCCCGGGGGCGCAACAATGCGCTTGCTCGCTGAGCGCATGCCTTCATCAACCTGGGTACCTGGGATAGGATCAAAGTACAAAGGGAACGGGCAAAGTCAAGTTAAGAGCATCTTCTTCACAGACTGAGCAGTCAGGCAGCCTGGAGTCCTGCCAAGGCCCTCCAGAGGCTAACTACTGCAACCTGCTCCCTCTCCAACTCCAGCAGCAGCTCAGAGCCGCAGTGGCTTTAAAGTCTCTGCAGATGCTTCGTGAACAGACGCAGCAGGAACAGCATTGGATGCTGTGCTGGCCTCCAGGCAGTCTGCCTGGCTGCTCCTGCAAGGTGCAGCTCCAGCCATGCCCTTTAAGGGACACACGGGATCCTGCCCTGCCATGACCCACTCTTGTGCTTACCTTGGTGCAGGCCACTCTAACTGCCCCTTGCCCCAGGCCAGGGACAGGCCAGGGACAGGGACATATGGCCAGTGGCTCTGCCCCCTCCCAGCCCAGGCACAGCACGTACTCACCCGACAGGCTGAATCCAGACTGATGGAGATTCCTGACGGGCGGTGTCTGACGCGTGGGGGACCCCCTGGTTGACCCTGCAGGGGTGCCCCCCTTGGGGGTGGTGGTCAGGTCAAACACAGGTCCGTCATACAAGCCCCGGGGCACAGCATGCACCTCTGCCATCTGTCACCAGAGAGAAGAGGACAGTGACACTTTTCTGAGCCCAGGGAACACCAAGCTCCAGCCATCCACCCGCTCCTCAGTCCCCCTGCAGAAGGATGTCACATTGCTATAGTCCTGCAGCACTGAGGCCTGGCACAGCCCCACTGCCCTGTAAGGTGTGCAGAGCCAGTGCAAGGGGCTATCCCCCAGATGGGGTTTATGCTGCACAAATCAGGGAGGAGAAGGCGATTTTGGCCAATCTCTTCATTTTAAACAGTGTTTCCCTCCAGACCCCTGCTGCAGCAGGACAGGATGAAGAGAGACATTACCACTGCTAACCTTAAGGAGCATCTGTCTCCACCATGGCACATCACTAACACAAAGGGCTCCCTATCCAAGCCTCAGTTATTTTGTATATTCAAAATACACCAGGAATTTGCAGCACTGCTAACAGGGTCCAGCAAGAACAGCAAATGAAAACCAACCAGTTAATAAGAGCAATTTGGGCTACCAATAACCCAACTCTGTCTCGTGGCATCCCCACCTCCTCACCTTCCTCCTGGCTTTGATGCGCTTGTAGACGTAGTCAGGGAAAGGGCTGCTGGGCAGGAATCGTCCGGTCCCCTGGGTCACATGCAGGTTGCCATCCTCCAGCATGATCTTCCCCTGGCATATGACCACCAGTGGGGCCCCACGGAGCTCCATCCCCTCAAAGATGTTGTATTCAGCCACCTGCAGCAACCCCAGGATGATGGTCAGGAGGGACAAAAGCACTGTCTGCCCACTTAGGGTGGGTCAGTCCCCACACCTCACTGCTGGAGTCACCAATGCAGGCAGAAGACACCCCTAAAGCCTTGCACGCTCAGAGGCCTCCTGTAGCTCACTAGCCCCTCACAGTAAAAGCCCACCAGAGTTCCCAACATGAACCAGGACCTGCTGGTTTGAAGCTCAGCGCAAGGAAGAACTCCCAGAGCAGACAAAGCAGGACCTAGGCTTGAAGTAAGGCACAAACAAAGCACTGTGGCAATGCCAGGAAAAATATTTGTGCCTGGAAGAGGAACCAAGGTAAGGAGAAATGTGTCTTTCCACCTGCATAGGCCAGGGTCGGGAGAAGAATACTCAAGCAGGGGGAAAAAGCCCCATGTGCCTCGGGCTCATGGACATTCAATCCCTAGTCACAACAGGCACTGCCCAGAGCCTGGGCTCAGTCCCTCCTCCTCAGAGCCAAGCAGGACAGTACCGGGCTCCCAGCAGCCAGGCGACAAAACTACTCACCCGCCACCCTCCAGCGTGCACACAGAACAGCAGAGGACTTACAGACTGATGGGTTTTCGCTGTGATGATTTTTACTGCATCAGGATCCCATATAACCAGATCGCTGTCCGAGCCCACTGCTATTCTCCCTTTTCGTGGATACAGGTTGAAGATTTTGGCAGCATTAGTGCTTGTCACAGCCACAAACTGGTTTTCATCCATCTTTCCAGTGGCCTGCACACACACAAAGAGAGCTAAGTCCATCTATGGGGAAAGGGTGAGTAAGAGCCCTGGGAAGCACCTTCCTCACTCCCACACAAGGTGCCGGCTGCTGGGCCCAAGCTTCTGAGGCTGATCTTACTAGCTAGAGCCAGACAGACCAAGAACTGGGGGCACAGTTACAGCTTCTGGATGTTCACCCCAAGCCTGCAACCACCACCTCTCCTGCCCCAGCCTGATTTGACTCTCAAAGCCAGAGAGGGAACAAGCTGGGTGCCCAGCTCTACGGGGCAGTAGCACGGGTGTGTGAGATGGCAACCACCTCTTCCCACTCTGCCCCTTCCCTGGTTGGACTCTCACCACGGCCTTGTCCCAGATGACAGACATTCGTTCCTCTACGCCATTGGTTCCCTCTGGGATTGCTGTGAAGTTGTCCTTGCCAATGGCTTTCTGCGCAGTGCTGAAGGTACAGTGGGCACTTCCTGACACCTGCAGGTCACCACTGCAGAGGGGTGGAACAAACCCACTGTCAGGCGTTTGCAGTCAGACAGCAACAGAGACATGATATGGATTTCCTCTGGCCACAAACAGCCCCCAGCTCAGAATTTTTACTCTGCACCCTCATTTCCACAGTCCCTCAGCCTGAAGACTTCCACCTGATCAGCCCCTGGGGCAGCTGTGTCACATGGGGGCAAGAGACCTCTGCCATGCTGTGCCACCCACCCGAGCATGCACAGCATCCTGTACAAAAGAAAAGTCAACAGCTCAGGTCCCAGGGAACATGCTGGTCTTTGTGTCAGGCCAGAAGATGTCCTTTCCTACTGGACTCCATTTCTGGCAGTTTGTCAGGTCTGCTTGAGAGAACCCTTCTGCCACAACAGGGAGGAAGA